GGCGGGGGCGGCGGGGGCGGCGCCGCTTCCGGTGCCCGTGCCGGCCGCCAGCCCCGAGGCCCGCGCGACGCCCGGGGCCGCCGGCCGCGCCGGCTCCCACGTCTCCGTCGTGGACGAGTTGTACACGTTGTCCTCCTGCGTCTGGCGCGAGCGCTCGTCCACCACGTGACCGCCGCGCGCCACCGTCACCTCCTCGCGCGTCACCACCGACGACTTGACCTGCAGGCTCGTCTCCAGGCGCACGGGCGAGCGCAGGATGCCGGCGCGGACCTGCAGGAGAGGAAGAGGAAGTCAGTGTCACTGCAATTGTGTCAATGTCGCACACTTGTGGGTGTGTGAATACACATTCGTACCCATTCGTACAAGTAAAAGTTGAAATTTATTTTAAAAACTATCCCTTTAAAAAAAAACCTTTGAGAATTTTTTTTGAAAAACTTACTTTCCTTTAAAAAAAAATTCCCTTTGAAATTTTACACACTTGGGCCTCATTCATAAGTAGGAATGGCATTCACACGCCTACAAGTGACGCGGCTGTGGCAGTATACCCGAGTATAATAAGTCTGCTAAGCCGCTCACCAGCACTGTGTTGAGCAGGTCATGGGGCGGCACGTGGCCGGCCAGCAGGGCCTTGCGGATGGCGGCCCCATCCTGGCCCTGGAGGTGCAGCGGCTGCCCGTTGACTAGAAGCACCTCCTCCTCGCGCACCACCGAGCTCTTCTCACAGTCCAGGATCTGCGCGCCGGCCCCGACCAGCTGCTCCACCGTCTCCTGCAGCTCCGCAGCGTCCATGCCTGCAACAGAGAGCCCTGGTAAAGCGTCGGCTGTCACGACTGTGGTAATACCTCGTCATCCCTGGCAATCTGTTACTACCCCGAGGGTCATCCTTCAAAACATATAGCTCTTATACTACTCTCGGTGCCCCTTTGTTAACCTCTGCGTAGTAATTGTTTTGTAGTGATGGCTCATACCGCCCCTACACGAGTAGGGATCCCATTCCGGGCCGAAGGTCTCTCAGTGAACAATCGTTCAGCTCCCTGCCATATTTCCTTCTCCCCGCACCCTCCGCTTCGCAGAGCGCGCTGATAGTGGGAT